ATAATTTTCTATACTTCACTTTTTGTTTTAATAATGAAAATGCATTTAAAATATTAGTTGCAGGCAAACAAATAATATTTTAAGACTTTGTCAAACTTTATTGTCAAAAACTCTTCCAATAAAGTATTATTAGGGTTAAACTCGGTCCACTAAGGAGATCAACATAATAATAAGTGCATGAAAAAAAATAAAATATTTTTGATCTTTATTTAAATATTCACACCCAAAGAAAAAAAACTATGACATTTATGGTATAAAGCATGTAAAAAAGTTTCTTCAATCCGTATTCTAGAAATTTATCATAATATTTATATGAACCATTTTAATTTAAAACGCAATGATAACAAAATGGTTATCTAACCTCCTTACCTCCTACCAAAACATATGATTAAATAAAAAAGTTTTTAAGAGATTTTTTAGTGAAAACTTTAATATTTGGATTAGATCAATAATAACTTTACGAATTATACATGGGAATGAATTGTGACGGTACAATCAGTACATGCATTTATACCAATTTACTGCATTTAGAAATTTCGTGGAACTATACAGTATATATATATATATATTATATATATATAGCAGAAATGGTGGTATTCCTCACAAAACTTTCAAATTAGTGCCATAATTGTTAAATGCTTTATCGTTTCTACGTCACGTGTAATACGTATTTTTTGCGTAGAATTACACAGTGAAATTCGATATAACGGACAATAAAAATATCCGGTATATCGAGATTTTCGATATGTTAAAAATTTCGATATACTGGATTCCATATAAAATCAGGTGAAATTCAATTATATCCTGTTTTATTTGTGCGACGTGCACGAAAAATTTAGGTTATTTTATTTTCAGAAAGTTTTATATATTAAAACTAACTGATGCTTAAGATACCCTACTTTTCACTATGTAAGTCCTTCGTACCAACAAAAGGGTATACAGTATGCTATCTCAAATAATGTTTATACTGCGTACATGTCAAAAATATGTCACGAAATGACCACGATATTTAGTGAACGTATTCACGCGAATGTTTTGGAATTGAAATTTAGTTGTCATTAAGAAAATTAATTAAATTACCTGTCGTAGACCATTAAATAATTGGTTTATAAGTATCATACTCTTTTAACGTTTAATCTTTCTTCTTCGATAACTTTAGGATTTTATATATACCAGTAATGATTTTAAAAGGGCTTTTTTTTTTATATTATTATATGTATTGATGTTATCGATTATAAAATAAAAATGGGTTAAGACTTTTTTTTCAAGTCTAGGATATTTTATCTTTGCAATTTTTGCTTGTGATCAAATAGAAACTTGAAAGAGGCGCTAAGGAGTACATTTTCATCATCAACAAAACTATATACATAGTCAGAACGTTTAGCGACGGCCGGATGTGGATGTAACATTCTAGTCTAAGCTTACAGCAAAATTCGAAATATAGTGGACACTTGAAAATTTTTATTGTCAGGATTGTCAGGTACTCGGGTTACCCGGCTAGTCGGGATATTAGAAAAGATATACAGTATAACATGGTAACATATATATATATGATGGCGTAGTATAAGTATAATAAAGTATAATTGTATATACTATATAAATGTAATTATGTTATATTGAAATTTAATTAAAGTATACCCGTGTTATTTTCTTTTCTAATAACTTGACTAGCCGAGTAACCCGAGTACCCGACAATCCCGACAATAAAAATTTTCAAGTGTCCACTATATTTCGAATTTTGCTGTAAACAAATCCATAGTTATTACTTATTTTAAGTTTAAATTCTATTATATATAATTATATTAATGAATTATAGATTTTCTTCGTACATGACTATATCGACTATATCATACCAAATTATTTCTATTTTTTTTGTAGGTATGAGATTCCAAAATATTCAAAATATAATATACACGATAAATTCGACAAAAACAAATCATATCAGCCAGTATTATTTAACTCCTAAAATCATGATTCCACCGAACGCTGTTTTCGACTTCGATTCTTCCAACAAAGTTATTAAAAAAAAAATGCTTAATTTAAACTTTTCTTCATAAACGTGATGAAATCAGCCTAATTTCTTTAATTTACTTTGTTGTGTTAGAGTTATAGGATAGATTACTTATAAAATATTTATTTGACCATCTCTTCAAGAAGAATTCCTGGTCCACCATCTGAAAATCCATTTTACGGGAAGAGGTGACATAGTGTTAATATTAGAACAGTACCCTTAATTCATATTTGGTGAGCCATCAGTAAATTGGAATGTTTTATCAAATTACTATATGTTCCATTTATTTGAGAAATTCTAATATACAAATAAAAAATAATATAAGTAGTTATTAACCGTGCCAAATGATACGCGTATTTACCATGTTACTTATATATCATATCAATGAAATCGGTTAAAGAAACACAAAAAGTGGATTTAATTCGGATCGTAACACTAAACTGGGATGAAGAAGATATCGACAACATACCTGCTACAATAGCAGTGTTACATCTGTCAATGAACTCCGTTTTTTTTCCAGTCCGGGTATTATATATAAAGCATTAAATAAGGTACGGCCGTACAAATGGGTATACAGGAAATACGAAAAAGTATTGGATGTGAATGCGTGTATAAATAATTACATCATTGAGATTTTGAATTCTTTGACATTTTATTTCAGTATATATATTTAGCGTTATAAAATATCATGGTGTGTTATCTGTTATCTGTTTAACTGTTTAGTTATATTAATTACTTTTTATTTTCTTTCCCGTCAGGTGTATATATCAAATAATTGACTGTGTATATTTTATGAAAATCTTTAATATTTTTTTTTCATTATATAAATGATTAGGCATCGTTCTAACACAAGGAACTTATTAAGAAATGAATTACTATACATTCATTAAAGATTAGGATTGTGGTAAGGGATTAGGGTAAGGAAATTTGGATGAGAGATTAGGTAAAAAGAATATGTTTTTTTTCTGAATCAATCAATATGGTGCAAAATTTATATTAAAATTATAATCATTTTGTGGTTGCAGAATAGATAATGGTATGATGACCTCCATTATATACCCCTATTTTCATAGTATAGCTGACATTTGACCACAACATACATACTACAATGGCATACTCCTTATTTTAGTATCACGTGAATCTTTACACGTGCCGGAGTAAAATGTTTTAAAATTTTTCTAAAAAATACACATAAATATACTGTAAATAAAAGACATCTAAATATGATCACAAAGTTTATTGATTATTCGATAAGCAGTTTTTATAAAATCAGGTTTACGGTTTAGACTTTCTCACGTAGTACCAATCATGAATCACCGGAGTATTCATTCATTAATTATTGATTATACACTTTCAAAACAATCAGATTTACACTAAAACTGGAGTATCGTAAAAAATCTGGAAATTATAATAATAATAATAATAAAAAAAAAAAAGATCATGTTGTGAGTTGTAATACTAAGTTAATAAATTTAAAATAAAATATAAAATTTTTCTTATCTTTTCTCATTCTGAAAAAAATTTTTCATTTGAAAAAAATGAAATAAAGATATTAATACAATCATATCATTTATCAAACCATCAATCTTATTAGAAATCATGTCTTTAAAGGTCAAAGGTGTAACCTCAGATAAAATGAACGGTTTTTGTAAAAAAAATGAAAACGGTTTATCGGTATCAAAAATATCAAAATAAACATGAACAAAAAAATAAGTATTTAAAGCCTTCATAATTACTTCTTCATTAACTAACCTTTTTTTTTTTCTTACCAACAAAAAAAGAAAGGTTAAGCATAACAAAAAAATACTAACAAAAATGCGCTTTTCAAATCAACACGGAAGTTTTCAAAATCATCCGAGAAGAATCCGACGTAAAATGAGACATCAAAAACGTCAAAAACGTATATTTAATGATGATACATTGAAGAGACTCCCTCAACAAAACACAAATGATCCATTTGCAAATCAATTGTTTAACGGATTGTCTTCTTTTTTTTAACCCTTTTTATTCCTTTTGGCAGGAATGCCATTTTTTTTTTTTTTTTAATAACCTTTCTTTGTTTTCTATAATATGTTTTTCATATTTATTTATAATTTTATCCTTTTAAATCTTATTTCTTCTTACGAATCTTGGTTTATTTTATTTTTTTTTTTTTAATAAAAATATGGTTTTTTACATTTATCGATTTTATTGAGAATTTGAAAAAACGTTTCAATTGAAGATCATGATTCAATCATTTTGGACCACAATACTTTTAATTCCGAAATGTTGTGCTTGGGAATCACAAGAAAATTTCTATTTTATATCATTTCATTAAATCATTCATCATTTGACAAATTTGATCTATTGAAAGCAATGCTCAACCAAACATTTGTAACTTTATCATTATATCAAATTTATTTTTAAAATAATTAAACCTTTCAAAGTCTGAAAATCCGAATATCAAATTATTGTTTATTGTTTATTAATTATAATTTTATCTTTATCATCATTTGAAAATCACTTCTTACACTATTATCGGCGCAGTAAAAAAAATGGCAAAAAATGTGCCAAATTTCCTTTTAAATTAAATTTAAAAAAAAAATACGTGCTTTCTCATTTAAGAAATATGGAGCCGGGGTCTGCAATTTACCAGGGGGTAAGATATAATAACCGATTTTTATTTCTTGAAATAATAATAGTAAAAAAAATCATCCAGAATTTAAATGAGCTTTAGTAATATAAATTGAAATTATTATTTGAAATCGTAATTTCTTTTTTTTATTTATTTGATTTATTATTTAATCACATTTTATTTATCTAATACTACAAGTATTCATTAAATATTAATTATATTATAAAAAGTGAAAATAAAACTACAGTATTAAAGATTGATTTAGTTTTTTAAAACAACCAAGATGGTGAATAAACTAACACTATAATTAATCGAGTCTCTCTTTAAAAATAATTTTTATTTTAAATTATGTATCTTTTTTTCATATTTCATATTTTAATTATCTGATTTTTCTTCAAAATTTATTATTTCACTTTCTTGTTTTATAACTTCTTGCTTTTCATTATTAATTTCCTCTTTCTTTACTTTTTGATCACTTCCATATTTCCCTTTAGCGATTTCAAATAATTCATTAAATTCACCACTCCTTTCACACATTCCCTTAAAGATTCCATTAGGTTTTTGCATTAATATGTATGGTGAATCATATTCTATTATATTACCAGCATCTATTATATAAAAAAAAAAAAAATTAAATATAATTGAATATTTTACGAAAATAATAAACATAAAGAATCATATACATACCCATAACCAAAATTTTATCGTAATCAGCAACAGTTCTCAGTCTATGAGCTATGGTTAATACCGTGGAATCTTTAAATTCTTCTCTTATTGTAGTCTGAATTAAATAATCAGTCCTAAAATCTACACTAGCTGTTGCTTCATCCATTATAATTAATTTAGGATCTCGTACTAATGCCCTTGCTAATGCTATTAATTGCTGTTGTCCTTGTGAAAAATTACTTCCATTTTCATCAACTGGTGAATCGAGACTTAATTTCTCTGGTTTAAATTGTTGTGGTTGTGTTTCTCCTGTTATAAGTAATGCTCCTGATTTGTCAGTTATGGTGGGTTCTTCTACATTATCATTATCTTCCTGAATTAAATGAGATCTTCGAAGTGCATTCCATAATTTTGCGTCATCATGTTCATTGAACGGATCCAAATTACTCCTAAAAAAAAAAATTAATTTAATCTTCAATTCGAAATTACGTGAATGAATAAAATTATTATTTACCTTAAAGTTCCATTAAACAAAACAGGATCTTGCGGAATAATAGTAATTTTACTTCGAAGATCTTTGAGGCCAATAGTGGTAACATCAATACCATCTAATACAATTTTTCCCGAAGTAGGTTCAACAAATCTAAAGAAAGATGTCGCTAACGTTGATTTACCACAACCTATTATAAAAAAAAATTTGCATAATTTCACGTTATTATTTACTAAATAAAATGAAATATAAATGAATAAATTTTACTACATACCAGTTCTTCCAACGATACCAACTTTTTCTCCCGAACTAATATCAAGTGAAACTCCCTTTAATACAGGTGGAAGTTCAGGTGCATATGCCATCACTAAATCTTTAATTTGTACTTCTCCTTTAACGGGCCATTCTGGAGGTGGTCTATGATCAGGAATTATTGGTGCAGGTTCAATATCAAGTGAATCTGAATAATATACAAGACGTTCTACGGCATTCATATTTGCTTCCTATTAAGGAAATTTTTTTTTAAAAAATATTACTTTAAGTATAAGTATTTATTTAATTATTATTAAAGTTTGAAAGTATAAAAAACACAACTTACCACTTCTGCATATTGTCTGACACACCAATTGAAAGTTCCAGTGACTTGTAGTGCATAACTTAATACCAAACCACTAATTGCAGGATCTACTTTATACCTTTCAATAACAGTAAATATACTTGTAAAGAAAATCAAAGCATTTGCAATGGATTCAAGTCGAATACCCAACCAACGTTGGACGACAACTGTAAGGAAATATGCTTTGTTTTCAATATCAGTAAATCGTTCATTTATGCTGCAATATAAAAATTTATATAAAATTAATATTAATATTGATGATATTAAAAAATTGTTTAAAAAAGCAAACCTTATGAATCGATTTTGTTCACGATAAGCTCGAATAGTAGGTAACCCCGTTAATGTCTCAGAGAAATGTGCGTAAAGAGATGAACGCAAAATGGAATCGAGACCTAAATTGAAATTAATTTTTATAAGAAACTATAGAAGGTTTTTTCTAAAAAAAAAAAAAAAAAAAATTGAAAAGACTTACGTTTCAATTCACGATTTGTGGATCGATAATAGAGGGCGGCCACGTAATATAATATCATAAGCGGAATCAATGGAATAAGGAAAAGTACAAATTTGACGCTAATCAAAATAAAAGTTCCAATCACAACTGCTAGAGTAGTATAGAACATACGATAAGATTCAGAGAGTAAATTATCGCATGTATCAACATCCTTACTGAATCTATAAACATGATAATTTTTTTAAAAAAAATTTAACCACAATAATTAATCAATAAATCCAAAACAGAAATTTTAGTGTCTTTGACATACCGATTGATAATTCTTCCTAATGGGGTTGTATCAAAGAATCTAGTTGGAGCTCGAATAACTCTTTTAATGGCATTTCTATGTAACGTTCTTGCAGCTTTAGCACCAGCATATGAGAAGGTTATGCCAACTAAAACACTGAAAATGCTTTGAACAATTCCCCATGCTACATAAATTTCCATCTAACAATAAGTTAATTAAGTTAATAATTAAATTAAGAACAAAAAAAAAAGTATCGAATCCTAATAAGCAATTTACTTAAATTACTTACATATGCTGCCTCTGAAAGGTTTAATTGTTTGTTTATCCAGACAGTCAACCAATAATTATTTCTAATTATTTTTATTCAATATTAAAAAAAAAAAGTTAATATATTATTAAAATTCATAAAATTGAAAAAAAAGAGAACATACCCAATGTTGGTGGCTTGCATCATTATAAGAAGGAATAACAAACTAGGTATTAATATATATCCTCCTGCGGCTCTTATATAAGCAAAATAAATAGCATTATCGACAGAACCAGTTGAACGTTCCTCTGTGGTCATTAAAGTCTTCGATGATTTTTCGACGGCTTTGCTCTTTTCCTTTTCAATTTCATCTTTATTTACTGGTTTGACATCAATTTCTTCTACTTCTTCTTCTTCTTCTTCTTCAGCTTCGCCATACTCTTCGATCAATTTCGCAAATGCGTTTCCAGCTTTCATTAATTCTTCATAAGTTCCTTGTTCTACTATTTCACCATCCTTCATACAAATAACATAATCTACGTGAGGTAATATGTGTAAATGATGAGTGACAAGAATACGTGTCTTTCCTTTAAGTGAGCCTTGAATGCAATTTGTGATGAGATAATTTCCAACATGTGCATCTACAGCCTAAAATAAAAAATAAATATAAAATAAAAAATTAATATAGAGACCAATGAATATATAAAAGCAATAAAAAATACATATACATACCGATAAAGGATCATCTAACATTACAATGTCAGCGTTATAATAAACTGCACGAGCTACACTGACACGTTGCTTTTGTCTATAAAAAAAAAATTGTATAAGTTTAAAAGGTATTTATTTATTTGTTTAAATATTCGAAATATATACTCACCCTCCAGATAAATTAATTCCTTTTTCTCCAATCTCAGTCATATCACCATCAGGCAATACAGCTAAATCTGGTTCAAGACAACAATCTTTAACAACTCGACGATATTTTTCTTCATCGAAAGGTAAACCAAAAATAATATTATCCCTCAAAGTTGCATTTTGAATCCAAGCAGATTGAGGGCAATACCCCACACTTCCTCCAAATTCAATTTCTCCGCGAATCTTTTTCATTTCACCAACTAAAGCTGATAACAAAGAAGATTTACCACTTCCTACCGATCCTACAACAGCAACAAGACTACCGTGTGGTATTGAAAAGTTTATGTTCCGGAGGTGTGAATAAGGAGTAAATGTAGTAGAATTTTGTTCCGTGGAATCAATTGGTGTTAAAGTCGTAGAAGATTGAGAAGTTGTCCCATTATTATCTTTTTCGTTTATATTTTCTTTCTTATCTTTAATTTCTTCAACATGATTCTTTTCGTTATTTTCAATTTTAGATAATCCCTTTGATTTCCTATGTTTCTTCTTATTCTTCTTTTGTTTATCTTTTGATAATTCTTCAGGAGGTGCAGATTCCCAAATAAATTCACCATCAATAACTTTAATAGCAGAATCACTATCCGGATTAACTTTTGGTAAGGAATCTAACTCTTCTGCTAGGAGTAATTCTTGTATACGTTTTATGGATACAGAAGAATCTGTAAGTATAGTAATCACCATAGGTAATAATATTAAAGGTAACCTTAAAATACTGAACAAGGCCAAAGAAGGAAAAATAATATCCGCAGTAAGAGTCCCTCCAGTAAGCGAATAAACTATGAATGTCAATATACTAGCAAACATCGGAATGGCCATGGAAACACCAGTGATACCAGATCTTATAATCAATAATAATCTAATATATTTCATTTCTTTGTCTCTTAATTTATTCAAGGCATTCAAAAAACTTTCTTCCCATGCGTAATATTTAATAACTCGAATACCTTGTAAAACTTCTTGAGTAAGTTTTACACGATCATCAGTGATTTTAGAAGCTTTTCCACGTGTTTTTGCCAAAGTTTTCATAACTTTAGCTTGAAGTGGACCAACTATAACTAATAAAGTAAAACCTGCTAAAGCTGAAGGACCAAGATTTTTAATTAATAAACCAAGAGCTATACAAAGTTGAATCGGCGCAGCCCAGGCCACGTGAAAAAAACCGCAAGCAAAATCAAGTCTCGTTGTATCGGTTGACATTATATTTGTTACTTTTCCCGTGGTAAACATACTACGTGCTTTTCCACTTAACATCATAGCTTTTCGATAAATTGCAGTGATCAATGCAGTCCTAATCAGGATTCCTACTTCCATAGAATAATAGAAATAAGAATTGATAAAGAGTGTCGAACTCATTTGCATGATAAAAAGAATTACGGAAAACCAATATCCCCAATAAGATTTAGGTGAAGCATCCTTAGCATCTTTGGTCATCCATGATTCTTGAGCGAATTGCAAAATTAACTACAATAATCAATAATATTAAAGGAGGATTAAATAAATAATACATAATTTCACGTGACTAATACCGCAGTAGATCAAATACCTGAAGAATCAAAGGTGACGTAACAAGTAAAGTATCGCTCATAAATCGGAAAAAACCCGCCATCCAAAACTTGAAGCCAAAAACACGATTAAGAGCTCTGAATAAAGATGGAGGTTTACCATCTTTACGTGTAAGCTCTTTTTCCCAGGATTTTTCAAATTTACTGATTATATTTTTAGCAAGTCTTACATCATTTAAAACGTAAAGATCATCTTTTTCCAATGGGCGTTTGTAACCTAACTTCATTAAACTTCCAGCCCACCAAAATGTAATCCTTGAAAATACATTTGCGTTTAATTCAGGAAGTAACTGATTTGGTTTTGGTGGTGGCGGAGGTTTACTTTTCCAGAATGGCATTTTTATTATATCGCGTGATGGCGCAGTTAAATTATATTAATGACGTAAATAATTTATTATTATGAATATATTTTGGTTAGATTGAATAGATTGTGAAGATTATCCAATATCAAATATGGTAATTATGGCGTAAAATATCTTAACTATCAGTGAGAATAAAAATTCAATTTGTTTTAATTTGTTTTTAATAATTGAGAAAATTTTATCTAAAAAAAAAAATCGAAATTTTTGATTTTCTTTTTCTTTTTTTCTTTCGTAAAAAAAAACTTAATAAATTAATGTAAGAGTGTTTTCAAAAGAAGCGGGATAAGAAATAAAAATTAAAAAAAAAAGCATATAACATAAAATTTAAACCATAAAATTTAAACCATAAAATTTAAACCATAAGAGTAGAAGGAGGTAATTATTCCAACGTCTCTTACAATTAATACACAAAGGAATAATTCTTCGGGTATTTATGCCATTTTAGGGTGATACAATGATTTCTAATCCTTATTGTTTAACTTTTGGTTTATGTCAGATGATAGATGAACAAATTATAAGAATTGTTTTTAGAAAAATGTAACTTTTTTTCAGTTTAACAACTCCTAATAATTACAGAATCAAAAATTTTTCCAATATAACCGATCCCTGTATGGCACCAGTCAACAATCATAAGTTAAATATTTTTTTATGTCGTGTTGATTCAATCTCTTTTTGATCGGGACATCTTTTCTTGAAATGGAATGTCGGTAAAACTAAAAAGCCTTGATTAGTAATTTTCATATTATTTATTTGAATTACGGGTGAAAATTCATCCGTCTATCATAATCTATTGGTTTAAAATCCGGATAAATTTCGGTTCAATATTCATCTAAACAAAAAATCAATCTTTGTCATCATCTCCGGGGATGAATTCTACCGTTTAAAATCGTTTGATATTATTGTCCGGAGCAAGGTTTACGTATGTTTAAACACGTGTGCTTAAACTTAAAATAGAATTTTCATGAATGGTATGTAACACTTATTACTTTTAAAAAGTGAACAAAAATTTAAATGGTGGATACCATAATTGTCATAGTTCAAAATATAAAAAGTATAGGATCGACTTCATCATTTAAACTTGCTTTTTTTTTTTTTCAAAATCCCTCCTTAAAACATTTGAAACAAATGAGTCAAGGATTAAATTCCGATTGTTTACAAATAATTTTTTCAAATTTGAAGGAAATTCCAACTATTTACTCATGTTCTTTGGTAAATAAGCAATGGAATGAAATTGCAATCCCTTATTTATGGGAAAATCCATTCAGATATTTAAATTGGGTAGCAATAGATTCTAATGTATTAGAAAATTTTTCATCCGTTAAAAATATTTCAGATTCTAAAGATCCTCTTAAAGGAAATGTGATGAAAGAAAGTACTGTTACATTTCGAAGATATGAAAATTTATTAAATTCTTATTTATATTTTATGGAAGATAATGATAAAAAAAAAGAAATTTTTGTTAATCCTTTAAATAAAAGTCCATTATATAATTATAGTACATATTTAAAATGTCTTGATATTGATAGAATTATTAATACTATAAAGAATTGGTCTTCTGATATTAAAGTTGAACCAATTTTAATTAATTTATTATATATTTTTATGAAATATTCAAAAAATGTGATCAAATTATGTTTTGATCCAAAATTTCAAGATAATAATATAATAATTTTATCATCATTTACTTATTTAAATGATAATTATAATATTTTATTTAAAGAATTTCTATCAAATATTAAAGAATTTGAATGTTCAGCAACTTATTATTCTTTTCAACAATGTTTTGATATTTATCCATCAAATAATATTTTTAAATTTCTTTTTACAATTATTACAAATATTAAATCATTTAATATGAATATTCCTGGTTCTTTTATATTATTAGATAATAAATTTGATGAATCATTAAATGAATTAAGTAATTTTATAAATAGTCAACATTCTATTAATAAACTTAATTTATTTTTTGGTTTATCATTTTTATCTAATAATGACATAATATTTAATTTATTTAAAAAATTTTTTATTAATCTTGAATATTTGGAATTGGAATTTGAAAATACTTTTAATTTAGAATTAAAAAATGAAAAATTTATTAAATTAAAATATTTAAAATTCAATTCTTTTATTTTAACTAAATCATTAATTTATATTATTAATAATTCAGTAAATGATAATAATAATTATTATGATAATAATAATGGTGGATTGGAATATATTTCTATTGAAACTTGGCAAACTAGTGATAATAATCATTTATTATTATTAGATGCTATATTATTATTAAATTATCATTATCTTACTTATTTACATATACCAATTGTTATTACAAATATTGAATCATTTAAAAAATCTAAGAATTTATGTGAATTATTTAAAAATTTAAATTTTTTAAGATTTGATTCAATTATTCAACCTCAGATTAATGATATTGATTATTCAAATGATATTTTAAAAGTTTTAAAAGATTATAGTAGTTTAAATATTAAAAAATTTGAATTATTTGGTTGGTGGAATTTATTACCTGAAAATATTAAAGATTTTATTGATTATAAAAAATCTTTAAAATGTTATTTTAAATTATATATTGATAATGATTTATCTGATGGATTTTCTTTACTTTCTTCTTATTTTAAAGATGAAATTTTATTATTACCTTTCTCATCTCATATTCCGGATTAATAATTATTTTCAAATTGGAAAATTTTGAATATTTAAAAAAATAAAATTTTTTTTTTTTTTTTTAATAACTTTATGGTAAACAATTATCAAATCGTTTCAAATATAAATTTGCGAACGCGTTGTTAGTGATAAATAAAGGTGACAATTAAAAGAATGTGATATTTACATTAAAAAATTTTGAGATAAGATTTAAAAAAAAAAAAAATTCTCATTTATGTCAAGTCCAAATAATTTTGTAATATTAGGAGGTGGCATATCAGGGTTAAGTGCCGCATGGTATTTATCTCGTTATGCACCTTCTACAACGAAAATATTAGTTTTAGAAGGGTCAAATAGATTTGGAGGATGGATAAAAAGTAAGAGAGTTGGTCAACATAAAATACTTTTTGAGCAAGGTCCAAGAACATTAAGACCTAATGGAATAGGAGGTTCTGTCGTATTAGACATGGTAAGTAAATTAATATAACTGTTCTAAAATTAAAATTTTTTTATCTAATTTTAAAAATTTTCTTTTTTAGGTTAATAGATTGAATCTAATTCCTTCATTACATGCTGTTACAAAAGATGATGACGCTGCTAAAGATCGTTTTATTTATTATCCAGATAAAATAGTAAAACTACCGGGAACATCATTATTATCAAGTATGAAATCTGTATTCACGAATAATTTTTTATTAAAGTCGATACCATCAATTTTATTTGAACCATTTATTAAACCGGCAAGGAATTATCATGATGAAACGATTCATGAATTTATTTCAAGAAGATTTAGTAAATCTATTTCTGATATTTTAATTAGTGCACTTATACATGGAATTTATGCGGGTGATATAAATAAACTTTCCATTAGATCAACTTTTACTAGATTATATAATCTAGAGCAAAAATATGGTTCTGTTATTAAAGGTTTATTAATGAGTAATAAAGAAGAGTTTTTATCTCAACAAGATAAATATTTATTAAAAATCATTAATGATGAAAATAAAGATTTTTTGTCAATATTTAAAAATGTTAGTCTTTATTCTTTTAAAGATGGTATAGAACAATTATCATCAGCAATTGTGAATGATTTGAAAAATAAGGAAAATGTACAATTAAAAACGAATAATCAGGTAACAAAATTGGAATTTGGGGAAAATGTAAAGGTAAGAAAAATGATGATTTATTTTTTTATTGTGTATAGAAAATTCATTATTAAAGAAAATTATTATTTCTCCCCATATTTATGTTCGTCAGATTTTCACAAATGAAGCAGTTTATGAAGCTGATCATGTAATTAGTGCATTGCCTTCAAGAGCACTTTATAATATTCTTCCTGAAAAGGATGTACTTCCTCATTTGAACTATAATCCATCAGTTTCAGTAGCAACAATTAATTTAGCATATGCTCACCCAAAAATTTTACCAGTTAAAGGATTTGGGTATTTAATACCACAATCAACACCACATAATCCTTATCACGTTCTTGGTGTAGTATTTGATTCAAATGCTATGCCATTACAAGATGAACCTTCAAGGACATATACAAAATTAACAATAATGATGGGTGGTCACTATTTTAATTCTATTTCGGAAAAAGATGATTTTCCAAAGAAAGAAATCTTATTACAACAATCAATAGAAATTTTAGAAAAACATCTTGGAATTTATTCTACTCCACTTTACTATCTTGTTGATATACAGAAGAATTGTATACCTCAATATTATGTTGGTCATTATTCAAGACTTAAAGAACTTCATTATGCGATTAAAAATCATTACGCAAATCGATTGAGTGTTACTGGTGCAAGTTATTGGGGAATCAGTATAAATGATTGTGTCTTAAATTCTGCTAAATTGGTCCTTAATATTCTTTCAAATTCCCCAAATGTTGTAACCGGTTTAGAAGAAGTTGAAATTCAAAACGAGCATTATTTATAATGTCGAACAATAATTTTTATTATTATAGAAAATGAAAAACGTATAGAAACACGAAACACGAAAATACTATATATAATAACACATATATTTAAACATCCAGCAAAATACAGTATAGTAGGCTTAAGAAATGTGGGAAATGTGGGAAATGTGTGAGAGAAAAAAAAGAGAAAATTTTTTTTTTTAAAATAAGCCTTAAATTAATTCAAATAGTAAAAAAAAAACATTATAAAAAATTCTTTATTTTGCTCTCCGAATTGGACAGTTAATTACAATGAAAAGTTGTGTAATAACCAATATTTGGGACGAATTTTTATAAATAAAAGTTACATTTTGAAACAATCAAATAATTCGTATCATCCTTGGCCAGGAAGAAGTTCCTGTTCACCCAGACACCACGATGAGGTGATGACACAAGCCTGGGGACGATTGAGCGATTCCAACCCGGTTTTTAACCCAGTTTCCTTCTGGTTAATCTTTTTTTATTTTCGTTTTATTTTCAATTAAATTTTTTAACTTTTTAAACTTTTTTTTCTTTATTTTTTTATGAATTTTTTACGAAAAAAAAATGAATGCCTTACTTGGCAAACTTGTTAAACCACTTCATATAAGGCTGTTGTGAAAGTAATGCTTTTGTCGCTTGGGTCCGCCTACTACGACGCACTTCAGCAGATTTGCGCGAAGCAACTATGTCCTAAATAAATAAATAAAAAATTAATAAAAAAATGATACAGATATGAATTAATAATTTCATTAGCACTCTTTATTTGCATTACCTGCATTCTCTTAACCATTCCTGATTTGACATCGGAAATGCGGGAAATTATTTCTTTTTTCAACAGTAACTCTCTTTGGCCTTTTTCATTGAACCATTTCAACAAATCATCGATCTAAGGCATTTAAAATTGCATCATTAATATTACATCATAATTTATATTATTGACCGGAAAGTTACATACTTGTTCGGGATCTTCATAGTATCCCCATTGCGCTTCTTCCGACCCAAAACTTTCTTCTAACTTTCTTCTTTTGTTATATTTTTGGCGCCCAGCTTCGGTCAATACATCTACTAGTTCTCGAGAACTAGGACTCTGAACTAGGATTCTACCAGTTCCATATCTTTCATTAACAACCAATCCTACTTCATCAAAATAATAATATTTGTTATGAAACCGATCGCGGCCCATAGAATTGGTTCGTGGCAATGCATATCTTCGTTTTTCTTTATCAATATTCTCCTCCTTAATAATTAAATTGGTTAATAACATTATTAATTGTATAAATACTTTAATATATACCCACTCTCTTTTGTAATGCAATTTCTTCCTCCTCTAGAATGCGTTTTCTTGTAACAATACTCTCATCGGTGTCCGATCTATCTTTTCCTTTTCCGCGTGGCACAGTGACATTTGTTTTGACAATTTCCGCAAGTGAATTCGCGCTGATTATTATTATTAACGTTATTATCATATCATAATAAATACTAAGTTACTAAGTTATAGGATGCTTACATTTGTTTCCTTTCCTTGGCGATTTCATTCTTCTCCTTATTCAATTCCGTCTGCCTGCTAACGCATCCTTCAATGTGTTCATGAATAAGGGTGGTTTTGGCAACGTTATTTATCAAAAATTCCATTATCTGCAATTTATCGGCTACTTCAAGGGTAGAAAAATATCCTTCAAAATCTTCCTCAGATGCATTGATGCTATCAATAGGAGCTAAATGAGAAAGAATACGATCCACATTGGGAATCGTTTCGTAGGTTCCCATCTTGTAAACAGAAGGAAATGCATTGATTAAAATTAAATCGAAACATTGAAAAATCTTTTTATATATACCTGATAAAGACAGCCAATAAGAACACACTCCCATCCCTTTCGTGAATCTTTGGAAGATATAACTTTCTTATCCCAAGTTTTGGCAAATCTTTCAAGGACATCACGAGATGCTAGCACGCTCTTTCTATCATCAATATCCATGTCATCTGGGCCATTGATCTGATCTCTAAGCGCAGGAACGACGCGAGGAATTGGTTGGCGTTTTTTACTTTTAGATTGTAAACGATCTCTGATAATAGCATTGAGCAAAGCCGCATGCATCTCAATCACCAAAGTGCAACGAGGTTGTATAATATTGTGATAAAATGATAATTCAAGATCGTCAAGTGTAAGGAATGAAATACCCAGAGGTTTTCTGGAAAAAAAAAACAACAACAAAATGAAACGAATGATAAATATCGAATTAATTCAATAACGAAAGTAAAACTTACCCGAATACTGTGAAAAAGTTCCATGTCATCAAGAACGTTCCGATATATTTCTGAGGGATCTTGAAATCGAGAACCATGTGAGGTCTCTTCGAGAGTAAGTTTCTATCAAGGGGCACATCTAAATCTTCTGTTGGATATTTTGCTAATTTAATAAAATAAGAGTATAGTTAGTCAGTAACATTATATATAATTTTATGTAAAATCTATTTACCCTTCTTTTGTTCAGCTTTTAAACGTTTCTGAACTTCTCTCTCTTTAGCTTTACGTTCTCTCTCCTTCTTTCGCTCAGTTTCCCTCTTCTTTTTTTCACGCTCTTTCTGCCGTTTCTTTTCAGCCGCCTTTTTCGCTTGTTCCTTACTCGTGGTTGCCCTGCTTTGCTTTTTTGATGCTGGCACTCTTTTGCCCCTTGCGGCGGAGGCCGCTCCCTTCTTGCCACCTTTTTGATCGTCATCACCTCTAGTTCTAGCGTTCGTTCCTTTGTTTACTTTAGTTTTCTTAGAAGGACCTCCTTGTGTAGCTTTGCCCTTTATTGTATAAATAATTTATAAACATAATTAACCTTAAGTAACTTGGATTATATAAAACAAACACTCAATCTCTTTACTTTTCGCTTTCTGCTCTTTTCTCGTGCTTCATCTTTAGCCTTCTTTAAATCATCAGGAAGTTTAGTAATCACTTTGTACTTTTTAGCCAAATCATCCTTCACAACCCAAGGAGCGTGCAAGTAGGTGTCTTTAGTTGTGGATTGTTTGATGAACAAGCGGATCAAGGTCTTATTGAATGCCAATTTGTTACGGCTATAAGGAATAAACATAGTTCAAATTTTGGTCGCCTTGAAATTTGATTAATAAATGCTTAATATTACAAACCTCAAGTTTTCGCCACCGTTAAAAGTCCTTATCAAATATTTATGACTTCCATTCTTTGCCACTTGTTGAACGGAATTTCCTAGTTTGTCTAACATTTGAACGCGATATACTGTAGTCTGCACCGTTGAAACCGACCTCTTGGTTTTAGAATTCTTTCCTTTGGATCCTTCAACTGGTGCAACCGACGCCTTCACGTCGATGATCTTTCCCTTCAACCTTTTAATTTTAATGTACAAAACACATAAATATGTCGCCTAAAAAAACATTATGGAGAAATTGAATACATACCTCTTTTTCCCTTCTCTTTCATTTTTGATAGTAACATATTCACCAACAGTAAACTCTTCGTTGTATTTATCGAATATTTGATTAGCCAAGACATCAAGACGATCGGTACCTATGAGAAATTAATAATTTAAATAAAAATGTTAGTACTTATATAAAGGAACTAAATCGATTTCATCTAAAAAAAAATAAATACTATACTTACTAAATTGCACCATTTGTAAAATTTGTTGTTTCAATCCTCTAGGAAATTTTTTGAGTTGTTCACGATGTTTCTTTTCGTTCTCAATAGCTTCTTCATATGTGAGTCCTTGTCTGCCAGTCACAGCACATTGCCAGTGTGACTTTTTATAAAATGCTATACGATTAAGATAGTCTCTGTTCAAATGGAAAAAAAAAGAAAGATAAATAAATAACAGGATTATGTAAGTTTACTACAAAATTACGATATGATTGAGATGGCGACAATCAGGCAAAAAAGGAAAACCGGTAAACGAACTACAAATATGGATTCAAAATCACATATATATTTTTATAATACCTATAATTAATAAAGACTTCGTTGGAATAGGGGATTACCCATATTTGTTTCTTGCCGTGCTTGGATGGATCTAACTTTGGTTCAGGTGGTGAAGCAAGAGGTTTGTTTTCATAAAGAGGCATGTCGATAAAAGAGAAATGTAAAAAACGTACCTTAGGAATAAACAAACGTGCAATAGTTAGCAAACAATGAGAAATAATATTTTAGTACAAGATCTTTGCATTTAAAAAAACTACTTACTAATGGAAATTTATTAAAGAAATTAATTGAAGTAAACGGATTGTAAAAACAACAATTCACAAGTTCACCAGTGAGTAGCTATAAATTGTTGAGAAAGAACGCAAAGACTACAACTATAAAGCGTAACGATAATAAAGGTTCGGGAATGCGTTTAGTGATGCAATTTTATATCTAAAAAATTCTCGATATGAGATCAGCCGTAGTAAATGTTTAGTGTAATTTAAAAACTGGAAAAAACTGGTTTAGATTCATAAAAAAAACTGCGTAATTTTTTCGCGAAAAATAAATCGCTAATTGGAATTAATTGAATTAATTGAATTTTTTCCTTACTGTTTATTCACATGCTCCAAAATTGGAAATTTTCACACGTTACAATTTTAGTCAATTTGATCAGCACGGTGCTAATTTGACCCAAAAAATTACTAGTACCTCACACCCTAGCTAGTACACAATGGTCTGTTATAAATTTGAACTTTCCGAACTAAAAAAAAAGGAAAGGAGTTATTCGATGATCAGCAGATTTAAAATTAATTTTTACTGGCCCAATTTATTTTCCGAAAAAAAAAATTTTTTTTTTAAAGCGAGAAAATGACATCAACTACAGAGACAAATAAATTTATTGAACAAGAACTTTCTAACGTACTTAAAGAATATGAATACGGTGTTACACCAAATTCAATAGAAATATTACCTACAAGAAGTTTGAATTCAGATGCTCATCAATCTTCTATATTTAAACTGACTTTACTTGAAAATGTTAAATTAATAATTACAATCGCTGAGGAAGGGTATATTGTATGTATTATCCATTTTATTAGCAGTGTTACTTGTTTAAAATCGTTGAATTTGAATTGAACTTAATAAATAGATCACTGAAGTCGATCCATTAGGCACTAATTTTAATAAAGAAGACTTGGAATGTGCAAAAAAATGGATTAATAAACCTTTTGAAACTATGGAAGCTTTATTATTAGCTGCCTCTCCAAAATTTGGTGAACAATTTCATCAAGCTTTGCATTCTAAATTATCAAATTTACAACAATCTCAACAAGATTAATTAAAAAATTAAATTTTTTGCAATTTATAATTTTCATCTATATTGCATTTTGAAAACGTAAAGGGAAAAAAAAAAAAATACAAAATTAATCTGTAATTTATATTGAAAGAGAAATGAGAAATTGTCCTATGATTGTCATTTTTTTTTTCATAAGATTAATAATGTATCCATACAAAGAAATTTTGTTTGAAATATTGGGAGATAAAAAAGATGTAATAAATTTTTTTTCAAAAAATATATATAAATCACGTGAAAATGAAATTTTTTAAATAGCATGTTCCCTCCTTCTCTCGTCCAAACATCCAATTCTTGGTCATTCCCTATATTATTATTGATTACTGGGCTGCCGAAATCAACCTGGTGAATTAAAATAAACTGTCTTTGAAACCAATAAATTGTCGCTTTTTATGCTCGATTTCCATTGCCATCTCGATGTTGTCTTACTGGGTCTAAAATAAAATTATTAATTAATAGAATTCAAAGATTAATATCATTTAGAGTAAAATTCCAAATGTTAATTACCAAAATAAGGATGCTCCATCGCTTCTTGAGGTGTTAATCGTTCCTATTAATGTTAACACATGTTAAGATATTAATAATTTTCTTTTGCGTAAATACAAATTTTCTTCTATAATAATATAATAACCTGATGATCATATCGCAACAATTTATCGAGAAAGTCGATAGCTTCTTTGGTAACAAATTTTTGATTTTCATTTGTGACAAATTTATTCCATGGTTTCCGTGGATATCTATAAGAAGCAATAAAAAAAGTTGCAACATGCAAATTTCGTTGCGGATGATCCAAAAAAAAATCTCATCATCCATAATTACCTTCCTAAAATATCATCATATTGGGCATCCAACTCTATATCATATTTATCAAGATATGCAAAGAGTTCATCAGTACCAAGAACTTTAGCAATTTTCACCAATTGATCATAGTTGTCATGACCATGGAAAAAAGGTTCTTTACGGAAGATCTTAAAAAGAATATTTTTGTAACATAAATAAATGACTAAATAATAATAAAATAGTAAACCGTATAAATAAGAAAAGAGTGCTTACCATACTGGCAAACATACATCCCAAACTCCACATGTCAAGAGAATAATCATACTCTTGGAAATCAACTAACAATTCTGGACCTTTGAAATATCTAGAAGCTACACGCACATTATACTCAGTTCCTGGGTGATAAAATTCTGCCAAACCCCAATCTATCAATCTCAGCTACAATTATAAAAAAACATAATCAAGCACGTTATTTATAAATAAATTATTGAAATGCATTTACATAATAAATTTATAACTACCTTGCGCTTCTCGTGATCGATCATGACGTTATGCGGCTTTACATCTCTGTGCATGATACCTTTTGAGTGACAATAGTCTAATGCCTATTATCAATTTCATCAATTAAAGAATTAAATACACAATGCCATTTACATCAAAAAATTCAAAGCATATATTTAAATAAATTCTTTCCTTTATACCTTAAGAAGTTCATAGATATAATAACGAACATCGTAATCAGTGAACTTGGGATATAACACTTTGAAGTCGGTGTTATTTACATATTCGAAAATAAGTGATGGCGTTTTAGACTAATTGAATTACGATAAGGAAAAATTAATAAGCAAAATAAAATAAATAAAATAAAATAAATAAATAAATAAAATAAAAATATATATATATATATTTAAATTTAAATATATATTCTTCACTCGTATATGTCTTTTGCTCAACTACTTTAGTTAACTATTCACTCCGATTTTTTCATATCAACAGATTCAATATTTCAATTTAACCATAAATCAAAACCCACCACGATTATTACTCTTCCTATCATGGTCTATTTTTTTAAAATTACCTGAGGATCTCTTACGACATCCAAAAGCGAAATAATGTTTGGACCACCAGCCAAATTCTGTAAAATCTTAATTTCTCTTTTGATCTTTTTCTTCTTTACAGGTTTAAGGACTTTAATCACACATTTTTCATTATTCATAATGTTGACTCCCTCAAACACTTCGGAATACTTCCCACGACCGATTTTACGTACTATTTCGTAATTATCTTGTACACTAGATGCCGATGATAAAAAAAAAATTAGATTAACCCATCATTAAATTATCTATTTTGAAAAGTATATTTTAAATCAAAAAATCATTTATTGATTTAACCAAAGAATTACTTTTCCATATAAGCTAATTATGATAAAATGAATAAGACATATTACCCCCATTGAACTTGTAAATTATCTGTATTAAAATTAAATTGAATCAATGTAAATTAATAATAATGGTAACAAGGAGATCACGCCAAATTATAAATGTTTTTTCGTGAAATAAAAGCCTCATTATTTACCATAATCCCAGTAGTCCCGGGGCATAGTCTGGTTGACATTCGCATACATGCGAGCCACGCTAGTGAAAGACGACATTTTGCTTGCCAAATGGTTACTTGAATTCACACAAAAAGAAGTAAGATGACGCAAAATAACTATTCTGGCAAAATTCAATTCTTTTAAAGATAAAGCATCCGAAGTCACTATAAAAATTGCTAATAAAGCTTAAGCTTAAAATTTATGGAAAAAAAGCAAAAATATGTATTTATTTACGAAATTCTATCTCTCTTTTTCCTAGTATCTGCTATCTAGCTATCTATGTTGATAAAAGACGAGAAAAAAATACCGGGATTTGTCAATCATTCGTTCATTGCAGCATGACGCAATATCACCCAATTCTATAAACATCTATAACCTTAACCAAATCCGAAGTTTATGATACCTGTGAGACAATCAACAATCGTGGCTAAGAAATGAAGGGTGACTCCGATATACCCCCTATCTTATATCGGTCCGATAGAAACTTTGTAGTTCCTAACTGATAATTACTTGTAATTTAATTTTATGTACACTTGAATATTTAAGTATTTAAATTTCTTGGGAGTAAGAAATTGTAATATATTATATATCACTAAATAAGATAATTACTATGATTTTTTTAATAATAACTTTATATACAATTTTTTGACCCATTTAAAATTAAACAAATGATTACTAAAATGAATATATTATATATACCCTTATTAAATTTATAATGTATTAATTACAACAGTGTTTAGTTAATATATATTTTTGTTAATCAACATCCATTTCGTCATCAACTATTTTATTAGTCCGATCAGTTGAATTCTGTTGCTCTTGCTTGCTTATGTTCTTTTCGTTTTCAAGATCTTGTGCTCTTCGCAATGCTCTCGTTAAAATAAATGGCGTCCATCGAAGATTTTCTGTTCTTATTCTTGGATACCCTTTAGCTGTCACTTTCTCAAGGTGATTCTTAATTAAGTCTTTGTCAACAACGATCCTATATGTACCATTTTCTTCATCTTTTACCAACATATTATTAATTTGAAGAGTAGCTACAACATCATTGACTGTCATACTAGTTGCGCGACTTAATTCTAGCATTATAAGGCACAAAATTAACATAATATTATATTTGAAGAGATTTTAAATATATAAAACTATATTATACCTTCGATACTAAGAGCCTCTGGAGAATCATTGAGTACTTCAAAAAGTACGTTGCGCCAATAATAACGATAACTAAGAAGGCCGAGATCAGACAATGGCTTCTCTGGTGACCCTGTCTTACTCTCTCTCTTTGTTAAAAGATAACCTATAAAGTGAAGCTTATGTAAGAACTTTGCAAAAATACGCCCCAAAGTTAAAAACTATAATACTTACTAAATTCAATTAGTAAATTTCCGTACCCCTTTCGCTGATGAATGGGTAGTGTTAAGATACATGACACGTTGTAATTTAAAGGGGAACGTTTTTCCTGCAATAAAATAGGTTAATATGAAACAATCTAATTTATTAGAATTCTATAATTTACAAACCTTTGAAAAGTATCCAACAAAATGACATCCTGTATCATTTATTTCGGTCATTACGTAAAATAAGAACGGCTCTACATCATAATAAAGCGTCTTGTGATCCAAGAACATTTTTGCCAAAAGACATAAATTTTGACAGTAGATCTAATAATGACAGTTAAGTTTAAATACTATGAAATCATAGTAGCAAAATAACAAAAATTAATTCGTCTTTTTACAGTATTTTTACGTCCATCGACCTCAAATATCGAGATTAGTCCATCTCGATAAATTTCATCACCAGGAGGATGTTTCATTGGACATTTCATCTAAACACAAATCAAGTCAAAATTATTGATAAAATATGAACAAGGAAATGATTAAAAACAAACCTTGTGTCGGTCTGCAATATATTTGCTCTTCATATATTTCAAACAATATTCACAAATATAAAGCGTTGGATACCAACTGTATTCCTCAGGATAGGGAGCTACATACCATGTATCCATTTCCCAGTCACCAAACCTGATTGACCTGATTTTTGGAGTGGCATCAGCGAATATTTGAGGCTGATCTTCTATATCAAAGGTAGTCTCTTGTCTTGGTTGCATAGCCTAAAAAATAAAAAGGGAAAAAATAAGACCTATATACAATAATGTCCAACATATAGGGAATACATACAGCTTCAGCCTTGTTTTTAGCATTTTCAAACCTCACTTTGTCATAGTAATCTGGACGTGTCCTTGATGTATCTGCTTCATCTGCCGTTAATCTACCACCAAATGGCAAATCAACGTCTTCAGTTTGTTCCCGATCCTGTTCATTATTCTCTATTACCTGCCTATTATCGGGGGCATGACTTGATGTTTGATCTCGTTTTTCATCTATATCATTCTGAATAGTCTCTGCATCAGAAACTTTGTTTATATTCCTTTCAGTTTCTTCATCCTCTAACCTAATTAATTTCTTTCGACCCCTAGTTTTCCCTTTATTTGTTGATTTTCGCTGTCTAGTGACACGAGCTTTTAAATCTTTATTATTGTCCATACCATTCGTAATATTTCGTTTTTTCGATGGTTTAGTGTGAGATGTTAATGATGATCGTGGTGTTTCATTAATTGTTGTTACTTTTATGATATCATTTGGAATGTATTCGTCTTCCAAATCATCATCCCCACTTGATATAGTTTCTTTGCTTTTGATTATTCTTTTCCTTTTTTGTTTGATTACTAATCTCGCTTTTTTTTTTTGTGATTTTCTAGCTTCATTAATTTCTTTTTGTTCTTCTTTAAGTACTTCCTTAGGTTCAAGTACAGGAGTACTAGCCTCTTCAAGTGAGGTTGCGGGGGTGACATTATCAAGGGATTTTTCTTTAACTCCCGGTCCTGTGATTGCCAAAGCTTTAACTTTTCGCTTCTGAGTTGAAGGACTCCTTGTTTTTTGAGATATTTGTATAGATGACGTTGATTTTTCTGGCTGAGGTTGTTGAGGAGGTGGTGTTTGTTGTTCTTGTGTCATCTCATTTTGAGGTTGTGTTGTTGGTTGCAATTGTGTTTGTGACTGTAATGAGTCATTATTAACTTTTTTCCCCCTTGGAGGTAAAACTCTATTACGTTTTCGTTTTTCCTTCTTAATTGCTGTAACGGATTGTTCATCTTCTTTCATCACAAGCTGATCTGTTGATATAGTTTCCGTTGATATAGTTTCCGTTTTAATATCTGAAGTTATCTCTTCCGACTTGGCTTTTCGTTTTCTAGGTGTAGTTGACTTTTTGCTTGATGTTACTGTTGGAGTTGAAGTCTGCTCCTTTTGTAGTTTTGGTGATGGCAGCGAAGTCAAAATTCCATTGCTTTTTGGTTTAATTTCTTCCTCAATTTCCATTGGAACAACAACGTTTGACACCGGAGTTTCGTCTTGAGTAACATGTTCAAGTATTTTAGAATTTTTTCTTTTCAATTTGTTGGGTGTCTCTTCTTGGTTGTTTCGTCGTCCGTTACGTCTCTTTTGTACAGTCGCCATTCAGGATCTTTAAAGTTCTGCTTCTGTGATCTGCACAACTCGGAAGTATTTAAGTGCACATTTAAGAAAAAGCGTTGTGAATTAGCGATAATAAATTCGGGTTTAACATTATTTTTCTTGATGAACGTGTTACGAATGTTTAATGCGTACCAAACGGACTTGTATAAATATATTTAATAGAACTTCTGTTATAATTTTAGTTTGAGTCAATATCATTATTAATTATAAATAGTTTCAAAATATCGTTCCGCGGTATAATTTCGCGGAGTACTTCGTTGACTTGTATCGCTTGTAGGTAAAAATTTATTTTATAAAGTTGCTTTTTGTTGAAGGGTTTTTTTTCGTCGATCATACTGTCGATCTCAATGTTCAAATTATCACGTGAAACGTTATATAAAATGTGACACATCGAAAGCAATAAGTATTTTAATATAATAAATGTAATACAAAAGTCTACTAATTAGTGTATTATAAACTTATATTATAATATAATGATAACCTGTTAATATTAAAAAACTAAATAAAACCTAAAAAAATTAACTTAATATGAAAAATTAGACAAGTATTCAATAATAAAAAATTTAAAAATAATGACTCAACAGTTAATAAAAAGCAAATACCTTCAAAATTGGGACTTTTTATTTAAAATAATAATTAAGTAACTCAAATATTACTTAATACTTTATAGTTTATATATAAAGTTTTAAGCATTTCATTTTTATTAAAAAATCAAAAAAAAATATATTAGAAAATGAAATTACTAGTGACCTTTTAAATATAATTATATTAAAAAGTCACTGCCAAATTAGATTAAATTATAATATGATAAAGTAATTTATCAGAAAGTTAAATCAGTGTATAATAAATTTTTTTCTGAATAGCTAAATCAACTGAATTTAGCAATTTTTTTTCATGAGAATATGAAAAACAAATAATTTTATGTAAAGTTTTTTTATTATAGTAATTCTAGATTTCTGTGTAACTATATATGTGATTCTAAATTATAGGTATGTATTATTATATATTATATAAAATTCAAAAAAGTAAAATTTATTCTATACTAAAATAAAAATTAGTATTAATCCAACTTTTAATAAAGAAAATTTATGTAATAATCTGTTTTACACAGGTTAAAAAGTGGAAAATCAGACATCAATCAGTTACCAATCAGTCACCAATCAGACAGTTTACTAACTTTTGACCCAGTAATCAGAAAAGAATGAAATATAGCTCATTGGAATTGTCTCAACAAGATGAATCTAATGGTAGTAAAATCGCATTTCTAGAATTAGTAATACTTGATGAGAAATTAAGTAAAATATAAAATAAAAATATATTACAGTCAACTCCCTCTATAGTCACTCCCGTTATAGTCACATTCTACTATATAGTCACACCAGTTGAATGTTCAAAACACATTATTATTAAAATCTATCCTATATAGTCACAATCTATCTATAGTCACTATCACACCTATCCTCAAAAATCTTATATTAAAAAGAACCGTTTATAATCACAGTTATATAAAGAATATATTAAATAACTTG